CTGTTAGAGCAGCCAGCAGCACTTATGGTGCCCAGAGACAGGGCCATGGCCAGCAAGAGCCCCCTCCTCACCATGCACCTCTTTCATCCTCCCCGCTACTCGCAGGCTGACCCTGGAAGAGTGTTGAAGAGTCTTCCCTCTCACAGGGCCCTGTCCTAGAGTCCTCCCGTCACACCCGGGCAAAGGGCTTGCTGTGGCCCCTTCATGCGTTTGTGCCACGAGATAACAGTTTTCTACTGCTGCCAAGCAACGGGGTCCCTCCCTTAGCTCAAGCGGTCAAAGACTGATGGAGCCATGAACGGCCCCGGTTCAAGCCCTTTTGTGAGGGGCTGTCTCAGCTGCTTAGTAAGATGTTTGTTTGTTCCTATGGATTCTTATGTTTGATCCTTTCAAAGCCCTGAGCACAGCCAGGCATCCCTGTGACGGCGCGTTGGGGCCCCATCCGCAGCCCAGTGTGACTCTCCGCCGGCCAGTAGAGTAGAAGGTGTATTGGTTCACAATGTAGTATAGGAGCAACGTTAACACAGGAGCCAGGAGCAGACAGCATTATTCCTCTGGGGAGGAGGGACAGGGGCTCACAGGCCCTTCCCCCCATTCCTTGGTCTCAAACCTTTGCACTCGTCAAGCCTGACTGACTCCCAGGGCCACTGCTCACCGGCCCCAGGCAGCCCCACCTCCACCACTGTCCTCTTTCTAGGCCTAAGGTGTAATCTGTTGTCACCTGAGCCTCAGGACGTGAGAGACTGCACGCACTTCCCCAGTGAGTCACACCCAGCCTCCCCCTCCTCAGGCAGCTAGTGCTGCAGGGCCTGAGGAAACTGAGGCGCTCACACATACACACACAGCGTCCCTACAGAGCAGCATAGGACAGTAGGATCGCATATAACTCCACAAGACAAACAGTGAATGCAACAGCAGCGTGAACCCAGGATTGCAAGAGTAGACCGCACCCCCCCCACGTCACAGTCTCCACCGAGCGCTCCCGTTTTCCAGTATCATTAAGCTCATCCACCTACATGCCTCATCTTAGCTACAGAAGGAGGTGCCTTTAATGGCACTCATTAAAGCAACTCACCTGGCAGCCCCCTCTGCGTTGATTTCACACTTGGACGACGCGTCACAATAGTACCGCTGACACTCACTGACTGGCGAGCAGCCGATGGACGGGTGCGAGCCGCTCAGACCAGGCTTGCACACACAAGACGACTAAGGAAAGCAAAATCAACAGTTGAAACCCTGCAACCCCCCCGATTCCCTTGCATTCAAGAGCATCCAAAGAGAGTCAGGACGACCTTGCCAAACCAAAGTTGCAACAGCAGCTTTGGCCAATGCAACTCAACCCACGGAGGCTTGTGGGAAGAAATATTCAGCTGGTTTTCTACTGCCACCTACCAATTCGTTAGATGCAATTCTGCGCTTTACCTTGTTTGGGCCTTGATAGATACAGTTGGTGGAATTTTCAGGGCAGCCTCCGTTGTTGTTAACACAGGGATTAATGGGCTGGCATATCTTTCCATCTCCTTGATATCCATCTTTGCAAGTGCAGTCGTATTTCCCTGGCTGTAGAGTCTTACAGACCGCTAAGGGGGAGCACGGCGATGAAGCACAAAGGTCCTGAGCTACAAGAAGACACAGAGATGAGAGAGGGGAGCATAACTAAGTCCCAGATTACGAACCAGCGCCAGAAACATTCTAATGCACAAAGAATGGGGGACGTGGAATTTATGCCATTAAACCGGGAAACTTTTCCACACTTTTAGAGACTTTTTGACTGAGGGATTTGGAGAAGAAGTGCTCACAAATGCTGGGGGCATTTGAAAATATGGTCCATGAAGATCACCAAAAGTGCCAGGTGTTTGAATCTATCCACCTCTCATTTATGTTTAATTCGTAGTGTCTTTTAGTCCTATGAAAAAGCCATTTGCAAGCGTAAAACAAAAGTGAAAGGAGAAGGAAAGACCGCTATCAATTCATGATACACGGCCACCTCCAGGATGGCAAGGAGCTGCCACTGAAGTTTCATGGTTTTACATATCATGTAAAAGAGTGTTTCTCAACCAGTGGTACGGGTACCTTTAGGGGTATTCGAGAGAAGTCGGGGGGGTACGTCAACACAATTTGGAGAAAACTATATTTTTGTTGTAAGTTTTACACTTTATTATTTTTGTACTTTTTATACCCAAAAATGTCATTGCCTGCCTGCTACAATCAAGTTGTTTAAACAAATGTGTTGCAATGATAGAAAAAAAATTGTATGTGTCTGAAAACTGTAGGTACTGAGGGGACTTATAATTTTTTGTAAAGGGGGTACTTTATAAAAGAAATGGTTGAGAAACACTGATCTAAAACAAGGTCTCCCAGAAGCACAATCCCCTTGCTTCAGTTTAGCGCACGAGCCTAGCACAGAGAGAAAAAAGTGCCGTTATGGCCCAGGTTACAGGGAGTTCCTAAACATTCAGTCATTGAGGACATCTCCGTATGCACCCTTAGTTCATGGCACGCTGGGGGGTAAACCTGCCTCGCGCCAGCCAGTAGCGTATTGACTGTCCATGGGGCACATGACTGTATCAAAGTGGTAGCGTGCCTCAGGTGACAGAGGTAGATTGACCCCCGAGCTTACCCCAGGGACTCCACCGCGAGGTACGTGAGTAAATGCGTGATTTCGCCGGGAGATCCCTTACAATCATTCCCGGGGAACTCATGAACCCCCCAGAAAGCTGTCCCCGCTCCTGCTCCCCTGCCGGCCCCAGGAGCAGCCTCTTAGACATCAGTAGACTTCACAACAGCCCTGGACACTTGGTTCTGCCCACGTGGCGGGCGCAGGACCGGGCCCCGTGCCTGTTGGAGAACACGGCCCCATTCTGTTGGAGGTGCAGACGGGTTTGGTGGGTCCCTGGCAGCCCTGTGGAGCCAGTCGCAGGAGACGGGTGTGAGTCCAGATTGAGGAGGGTTTGCCCCGGGGGGGGGCACCTCACCTTGGCAGATACCCCCCTTCTTTCTGTAGCCCGGCTTGCAGTCGCATGTTTCCAGTCCGTTCGTCTTCACGCACTGGCTGTTCTCCCCGCAGGTTAGCTTTTGACACGGGGGGAGCTCTGAAATCATACAACAAAGGGAGGGTGTCTCAGGTGCAGCGGACACCGCCAGGCGTTACCACTTGCTATCTGAGGAGGCCAAGAAATACAGGCAGTCCCCGACTTACGCGGATCCGACTTATGTCGGATCCGCACTTACGAACGGGGCTTTCTCGCCCCGGAAGTC